CCCCCCCCCCACAAAGAAGAGAATGCCTGCTGCCTGTCTTGGTTTGTCACTACGTCACTAAGCAGAAATACCTGAGACTGGGTGACGTGTAAGAGTAAAGGTTTAGGGGCCACTAGGTGGGGTGTTAAGGCGCTGGAGTGAGTCCCACATGGCCAAATGCTGTTCCAGCCCCAGACCTAGTGGTTTGAAAATCATGCTGGACACGTGTGCATTTATGCCTAAAATCCTCTGAGGAGAATGGAGGAGTGGCCATCCCCCACAGGATGATTTCTCATTTCCTCTCTCTGTGTGTCTCTCTGTCTCTCTCCAGTGAGCACATGTACCCTGTGACAAAAATCTTTTAAAAAGACAGGAAGAGAGTAAAGGTTTTTTGGCTCACAATTCTGGTGGTTAGTGCTTTGATTTTTAATGGTTTCTCCCCTGGGTTCATGTTTGGGTTTTGGTCCTCAGTATAAAGCAGTTTAAAAGGTAAGGCTGAGCCAGCAGATGGTGTGGTGGTTAAGGTGCTGGACTCCCACATAGCCAACCGCAGTTCAAGTCCTGAGAATCACGCTGACCATGTGTGCGCACATGACCAACATCCCAAAAGGGGGATGGAGGGAGGAATTGTGGTGTGGACAAGCCTCCCCCACACACACACTTTCTCTCTGTCTCTGGCAAGTGCATGTGTCAAAAAAAAAAAAAAAAAAAAAAAAAAAAAAAAAGGTGGAGTGTAGGGGAAAGTGACTGGATCATGGAGCCATGAATGGATTAATGGGTCAATGATAGCCCTTGAGACCCAGTCAGTCCTAGCTCGCACTAGAAGGGGCTCATTCTTGTGAAAGAGGCTTGTTAGAGAAGGAAGATGGCCGCCCGCACGTCTCTGTGCGTCCATTGGCCATGTTGTGACTGGTCTGATGCTAGCCTCTTACTGGGGGACTTTCCAGCCACTGGAATCATGAGTCTAATAAACTTTTATCCTTTATAAGTCACTCAAGCTCAGAAATTCATGTAAGCAATACAGTAATAGACTAAGACATCTGGGAAGGCCAAGAGCATGGAGCCAGCCTCTGGCCGGCTTCTCCTAGGTCACAACATGGATGACGAGCAGGGAGGTCAGTGGGTACTTGTGCAGACAAAAATGAACTACAAGCAACCATCTTACTTTACGACAACCCACAGGAAGAAATCCATTCTCTCCAGAGCAAGAACTCACTTATTCCCGCAAGGTGGCACTAATCTGTTCTCCCAAAGATCCGTCACATCTCAACACCATTGCATTGGGGACCAAGCTTACAGCATGTGACCCTTCGGGGTACAAACCATATTGACACTGTAACATTACACCTGCTGAGAAAGCTACTGTTTTTAAGATGAGTTGCTATATGCAACCTAGATTTTTAAGTGACTTTTAGTATAATTTGTTTATGACAGTTCCAGAAAATTGTGGTATGTGAATAATTCAACAAGCCTGTGTTTTTGCCCGTGTGTGGTGATATTCATCCAGCAAATAGTGGTTGAGAACCTAGTATGTGCTGGCTTCTGGGGATTAAATGTGAATACGATCCCTGAAGAGGGATGATAGACAACGACCTGGACAGCAGATACGATCGTGAGTTCAGGGAGTGTCAGATGATCTGAAGAGGTTAAACAAGGTGTGGGATGGGGTGCCCTGGGTGAGGTGGGGCGGCCTAAGGGTGGTCAGGAAGGAGACATCTGAGCTGGAATTGGAACCCCGAGAAAGCCTGACCAACAGACTCTATAGGAACTTGACACACAGCTTGGTTCCCAAATGTGAAGAACGTTGGAAAGGAAATACGTGCCATGGTGTGTCCCACTCCTATTTTAAGTGCCGCACATTGCCTCTGGCCAGTTGCCTGTTTTTCTTTTCAAGGCAAGGTTTTTCTCAGCTCCCTATAGATTTCTTGGGGGAAGATTAGCTGTTTTCCTCCTTTCTTTTCATTCCAGTATTGAAAATTTGAGTTGTAACCATTCCATTGGCTTTATCCCATTTTTATTCAGATTGTCAATAGATTTGTTCAGTCTGTTTAAATTTTGTTCCTTCTTTTGGAAGGTAGTGAAAAAGAATGGGGAAAGAACTCATCAAAGAAAATGCGGACTTGATATAAAAAAAAAAAAAAGGAAAGTAAGGAGACATAGAAAGTAAAGAAAAAAATTATTCATAATCCTATCCAAATGTAATAACTGTGTTGACTTTGTTCATTTTTTTTTTCAACATTTTGGTTTTCCTTGCATTTTTTGAGTACAAAATATTCACATCATTTTTTTTTTGTTTGTTTTGTCATTTCTTTTTTTTTTTTTTTATTATCATCATAATCTTCTTTCTATTACAGTAGATTACATATAACTTTACATTGACTTCCATTGCTTTTTTCAAAAGGGAATGCCATGCATGTCAGTCAATACAGAGATATCAATCTCCCCGCTTTATCATTCAATATCTTTTCCATGCTTTTCCCAATAATTATTATTATAATTTTTTTAGACAGTCAATCACTATTTCTCGTTTTGCTTATTAAAAAGACTTCACCCATCATGAAATATTTCCCAGACCAGTTCAGTTGAGAATACTATACATGTCATCATCAACAGGTAATAAACCATATCTATTTCTCATTAACATCCTGCCTCTCTATTGTTCACTGCTGTCTTTATCCTCTTCTCTCTCCTTTTTTTTTTTTATACTTTGTTTTTTATTATAAATTTTTTTTTCTCATCCCAACACACATATGAATTTTCCATCCAAAATACACTGTGCATTGGCTCAATCAAGCACATCAACATATATGTTCTCAGCAAATGATTTCCCAATTTTTGTGTCCTGCATACCTTGCCTTTTGTTTTGCCATCCCAGATTCCCCATCCCCACCCTCTGCCATGTCCCATCTTCCTCCTCCATTGTCCCTGACACCCATGATTACCCTCAATGGCCTCCACCCCCCCCATTCAATTGTTCTACCAATGAACTCAATTAGTCTAAGTATATCCACTAGCTAGCACAGCTGACATATCCTTACACATGTATCCAAATCTGATCCTAGGCATAAACCCCAGGGAGTAGAATGAACATACTATAAAGTAGACCCCAGTTGTGTCCATACAACTCTCTTCAGTCATCAAATGTGCATTTTTTTTTCCTCCTGCTTATTATTATTTTTTATATTAAATTATGTTGCCTAACACTCGTTCCCTGAGTATCATCACAACGCACCAAGTGTAGTTTCCCATCCAGGATAAACTGCATAGTGTCTCAATCAAGCATGTCGTCACCAATACTGTTCCATTTCTACTTTCATACATATAAATATGTTTTTTATCCTATGTTTGACCCTCAGCCCCTTCCCCCTCTCCCAATCACTCCATCTCTGCTATAGACAGTCATCCTCCAGAGGTGTCATTGAAAATGCAATACCTGCGAGTAGAGGGAGAGGGGCCAGGAGTCCAAAGTTTTTAACAATAGGGAAAATAGATTCCATTCAAGGTTGGATCAAGTGTGGGTCTCGTGCAGTTCCGCAACTGTAGGTGAGTCTCCATGGAATACAGTCTCCGGAAGGCAGTTCTGGCAAGCAGAGTTGACCATCAGTTGATGCGGCACAGCAGCCATCTTGTGGTTAGCAGGA